TTGAAAAATTTTATTTTTGATAAAACATCACATTTCTATAGAACTTTATAATTCATCAATTAGTTTTTTCAAAAAATAAATACTTTAAGCAAAAAACGTGATGTGATCTGAAAAGTACAGATTTTTTAGAAAGGGTTAATTACTAGGTTATTAAAATGGCATGTCTCACGCCAAACAAATTTATTTATTCTTTCATTTATTGTGTGCAGTTCAAGATGACGAAAATACAAAGTTTAGTGTATTCGAGGATAAAAATTTATCTCAACTTTGATTTTTTATTGTTAAAAATTTTGCATATCGATGCATATTTGGCATATATTGGAGCATATTTCTTAATATTTTGTGCATATTTTTGTGAAAATGCTTGCATATATAAGCGCATATTTTACGAATTTTTCGTGCATATAATCCGAGCCTTAGTAATAAACCATATGGTCTGTTGATAATTTATTACAAATTTAATTTAGAATTCTCCAACTTCTGTTCCCTAATTTAGCAAACTTTTAAAACAGTCTGAAAGCTCGCAATAATGAAGTAAAACTAACAAAATAACACAATATGCGAGAGAGTTAGTCAAAATAATAATTGTACAAACTTTCGGCGAATATTGTGATTGAAAGTACAATGGAATTAGGAAGCTAGCTTGCAAAGTAAATTGCGATCACAATTAGATTTCTCCTGCGACGTTACATCAAACGAATCGTGAAATTTGGACGAATAAAACGACAAAAATTCGCAACAAACGACTTAAAGTCTCTGTTAATTAACTCCCGAATTTTGGACAAATAAAGATTTAGTTGCAGAATTGTTAAATTTTGAGAGAAAATTAAAATTTTAATCCACGTCAAAGCTTATCGTATCTAAAATGATAAAATAACAAATTTTCAGCCAACAATCTTCAGTTTTTTCAATTTTTTTCTTAATTTTTTTTATATGTGGTTTTTAAATTGTTTCAGCTCTTCTAACTAACTATTTAAAATCTGAGAAAACTACTTACTGGATAATGAAGATAATATAAAACAAAA